AATTGAGCGTCAATATAAAAAAAATGTTACACATGTGTAAAAAGGGGATGCTATCTTTCCAGACTTTACGGTAATTAATTGTATGAATTCGTGTTACATGCGCAGTATTTAATTAATTCGTAATAAGCTTGTCCCCCGTAATTAAATATCAAATGTTGTAATGTTGCAACATAACCATAACGTTGCAACATACCCATAATGTTGCAACATACCCATAACTTTACATATTACATAAAAACTATACATAGTGTTGCAACATAATCACGATGCAGTTAGACCAATTTTCTGTTTATTTTAAAAACATCATTATTATAAAATATTTGATATTTATTAAATGTAATTATTAGACGTAGAATAAAACAAACTTAAAAAATTTGAATTTATTTATTTATCTATTCATTATTTAATTGCTGTAAAACAGCATGTGGATCCCATTCAATTGTGTCTTCATTTTCGTCTATATCACCATCATCATCTAGTAAATTATTTTCATTTTGTTCTCTTTCTTCAATGACATGTAAATTGAATAAATTTGTTACATTAAGGATTGCATCTGAATTATTCTCTGACCAGATATTTCTTTCTTCTGCTTCTAAGTCTCTTAATTCATCTGTTAAATATATTTCTTGCATATTATTGTCATCTTCTAAATCTCCAAAATTATTTTGAATAATATTTTGTAATTCTTCGGGTGTATAATGAAAATCACGGCCATTTTTAGCATGTTTCATCTCTTGTTCCATATTAGAAATATTATAACGGTATATTTTTGCTAATCCTTCTAGTTTTTTAATTTTCAATTTTTGTCATCGTTTACCATAAATGTACCCCAAAGAAGAAAAAATGCGTTCACAACTAGCACTATTCGGAATAATTGAAAATAATTTTAAAGCAAGTGTTTGTATATAAGCAGGTCTAGGTTCACATGTACTCCACCATGTGATAGGTGTGTCACTACCAGATACATAAGGTAAATTATATGGAACTTGTTGTAAACGATAAGCCCGAAATTGTGTTACTAATATTTCATAACTTGTCACACTTTTTCCCATTCCTTGCCAAATAATTCCTGCTTTTAAAACTAGAGAATGAAATTGTCCATGTCTTAATGCACTCCCTTTGTAAGCTGGGTGTAAAAAAAATGCAAGTATATAAATGTCATCTACAAATTCTTCATATCTAATAATAAATAAAATTGAACTAAATAATTAATTATTTAATAATAAAAAAATTGTTAATTATTAAAATCATTTATTTACCTTTGATTAAATAAATTGATAC